CCCCTCTCCCCCCTCATCCAGGCGGTGGAGACTCTGAACGGTACAGAACTGGACGGACGCACGCTCTTCGCAGGCCCCGCCATCAAGAAAGCCACCAAACGACAACAACAACAACAGCAACAACAGCTACAACAACAACAACAACTACTACAACTACAGCTACAGCAACAACTACAACACAGAGAGCCGGGACACACGGAGGCTTGTGCCATGGATGGAGACGCCAAGATGCACACCAAGCAGCAACAGCAGCAACAGCAGCAACAGCAGCAACAGCAGCAACAGCAGCAACAGCAGCGACAACAGCCTGAGCAACAACAGAAACAGCAGCAGCAAGAGTTTCAGCTACCAGCACAATTGGGCTCTCTGCAACAGCAGCAGGAGCAACAACAACAACAACAACAACAACAACAACAACAACAACAACAACAACTACAACAACAACTACAACAGCAACTACAACAACAACTACAGCAACAACAACAACTACCGCAACATTTACAGAAACTCCAGAATCAGCAGCAACAGGAGCAGCAGCAGCACCACCACCAACAACAAAAACAACAACAACAAATACATTTCCAAAGATATCAACAACCACAACAACAGCAACCACAGAGACAGAATTGCCGCACTCAGCCGCGCGAAGACCACCACCATCACCACCAACAGCAACAACAACCGCAACAACAACCGCAACAACAACAAGAAGAACAGCAACAACCGCAACAACAACAAGAAGAACAGCAGCAACAGCAGCGACAACAACAGCAACAACAACAAGAAGAACAGCAACCCCAGAAACAACCCATCAGTTTCCCCGTGGCTGCACCGCCCCACCATCTGCGTCTAATCCAAGGTCACGACCCGGCCTTGACCCCCGTGACCTGCGGCGCCGAAGGTCAAGGGTCACTTCCGGAGTTCCCCACCACCTCTGTGCCCGCCCTGCCTCACACGCATGCGCAGACCAAACAGGGCCGTGTCAAAGAGCGACAGCAACTACTGCTGCACAGTCTACAGAATCATCATCATCAACCACAACAACAACAAAAACAACAACAACAACAACAACAAAAGAAAGATGTCAATGTACAACAACAACAACAATCACTACAACAACCACACCAACAACAACAAGTACAACAACAACAGCAACAATTATTACAGCAACAGCAACAACAACAACATCAACAACAACAACAACAACAACAACAACAACAACAACAACAGCAACAACAACTACAACAGCAACAGCTAGTTGTAATACAACAACCACCCCAGCAAAGCATTCAACAAAACCAACAACAATACGTAAAACAACAACTACAACCACAACTACTACAACAACAACTACCGCAGGATCAACAACATTTACTACTACAACGACAGCAGCAACAAGAACAACAACAACAACAACAACAATTACTACAACTTCACCAACCGCAACAACACCTTCAACAACAACAACATCAACATCACCTCCATCTCCAACAACACCAACACCAACAACAGCAACAACAACAACAACAGCAACCCCCAGCACCACCCATGTGTGGTGGCGGCTGTATGTCTGCCACTGGTCAGTCTTCCCAGTATGGTCAGTGTGGTCAGTGTGGTCCATCTGGTCAGTGTGGTCAGTGTGGTCAGTGTGGTCCAACTGGTCAGTCTTCCCAGTGTGGTCAGTGCGTGAACCTTTACGTCAAACACCTGGACGATCACGTGGATGACGTCATGCTCAAGGCCATGTTCTCGCGCTTCGGGGAAGTGCTCAGCGCCAAGGTCAGGGCCTGTCTGTGTCTCTGGTTTTGTGTCTTTTTGTGTCTCAATGCCAAGGTCAGGGCCTAGTCTGTGTTTCTGTTTGTCTCTTTTGTGTCTTTTTTACTCTGTCTTTTTTTTGTCTCTGTGTCTCTGGCTGCCTGTTTATTTAGTATTAGTAAAGAGTTTTACGGCACTGGCTATACAATAAGGTCATAATATTATCTATTATCTATTTGTGGTGGCCGAATTTTGCTATTCAAAAGGCTTTTTCATGGCTGCATCGATCGACATGCGGTTTTCGCCAAAAGATTCTTTAAAATATTCTCCAGATCATGACGCCCTTCGTTTTCAATTTCTTTTTTTCACCGATCGCTTTTGTAGGCCGACGCTTCTGCCTCTGTAATTTAGAAAATCCGCCAGGTTTGTTTATTTCAAGTCGTACTTCCGTTCAATACTATCGCGCACTGTCGCGCAATACGGAACACTATTTTAAAGTGTGCGACCCGTATAGATCTAGCCTCAAGTTTTCTTTTTTTACTTGGTGCTAAATTCGACCGTGATCCTTTCGATGCCCATCATCGCTTTTTCTGGACTCCTTTGTCAAATTCTTATTCTTGCTACTGGGAACAATCAACACGCTTCTGTCTCAACCCGTTCATCGAACGGGGGCCCAACTCGTATATTATAAGAGTCTAAGATTAGGTGAAAAAATGGTGAAAGGGTATAGGTTTAACGCCCCTACCAACACTACAAGGTTAATTTAAGAATTCACATCTCTCTCTCTCTCTCTCTCTCTCTCTCTCTCTCTCTCTCTCTCTCTCTCTCTCTCTCTCTGTCTCTCTCTGTCTGTTTCTCCCTCTCTCTCTCCCTTGTCTCTCTCTCCCTCTCGCTCACCCCTTCTCTCTGTGTTCTAACCCATTGGGTCTTCTCTTTCCCTCTCCCCTTCATTGTATCTATCTCTCTCTCTCTCTCCGTCTCTCTCTCTCTCTCTTTCTCTGTCACCACTATATCTAATCCCTTCCCCATTTCTCTCTCTCGCTGTCACCCTCTCTCTCCCTCTCACCCCCCACCCCCCAAATCCTCCC